AAGAAACGCAGCCTTTATATGAAGACCCCTACTATTATTTAAATCAACCCAACACAACTATATATGGGCTTTAAAGGTGTTCTTACAAGATATGTATTTGCATGAACACATGCCACTTTTTACATATGGAAATGCCAACATAGNCGTGTAAAGGCAAATTAAATTTGTTTCTGTACAAAGCAGATGCACGTACTTACGAAATATAAATGTTTCTATATTCATCTGACACACAGATAGAATCATCTGAGTTTAGTTTATTTCGTTTTCATAGAATGAAATTTTAAATAGTTAAATAAAGACTGGGAATTTGACAGACATACGCAATTACATACGTATTGAAAAAATCACATGTACAGACGCAAATACATATCGTGTAAGAACACCTTTAGGAATTTCTTATATTCAATACTTCGATAATACAACTCTGCGTGGCATAGGAAATTAAATGCAACTTTGGGCCGCGGGAAATACTCGCTTCTTTTTGCCACAGGAAAAAGTCATCTATTGAACCTGCTGCAATCTTTTCCTTGTTAAATAAGCGTCAGTTCGGCAAAATAATAAACAAAAAGCACTTTAAATTGTAGCTGAAGTGTCGCGGCACTTGCGCCCACAGATTTTTGGGCGAAAACTGTGTATTTTAGGACCTTAATGTGTGTTTGAAAATTTTGCAAATTTCACCATAAGAAACTGCGACGTCGATAACGAACGAGGCGATAGAAAAAACGCATCGTGTCGAGTGTGCCACAGTCGGAGACTCCGGCCTTTAGGGGAGCACCCTTTTGGTAATTTTATAGGTTTTTAATAAAGAAAAATTTTGTTATTGGGAAAAAAGTAGACTATAATTATGTCGACTAATGACTCCAAGGCGCCCTTGCGCCAAGTAAAACGGGTGCAGTTCGGTATATTGTCACCTGATGAAATCGTAAGTAGCAGATTTCACATATCCATACCTATGTAAGTGCAACTTCATAATTTTTACTATCTTAGCGTCGAATGTCCGTCACAGAAGGTGGCGTACAGTTTGCTGAGACAATGGAAGGTGGCCGACCCAAATTGGGTGGTCTAATGGACCCACGTCAAGGTGTAATCGATCGAACGTCTCGTTGTCAAACTTGCGCTGGCAATATGACGGAGTGCCCCGGACATTTTGGACATATCGACTTGTCTAAACCAGTTTTTCACATTGGTTTTATAACAAAGACTATAAAGATATTGCGTTGTGTGTGCTTTTACTGCTCTAAAATGTTAGTATCGCCACAAAATCCAAAAATAAAGGAGATTGTGATGAAATCGAAGGGACAGCCACGTAAGCGTCTGGCATATGTGTACGATTTATGTAAGGGTAAAACTGTGTGCGAGGGTGGAGAGGATATGGATATGGCAAAAGATGGACAACAGGCGGATCCCAATAAAAAGCAAGGCCACGGTGGCTGTGGTCATTATCAACCATCACTTAGACGTAGCGGGTTAGAGTTAACGGCTGAATGGAAGCATGTAAATGAGGATTCGCAGGTGATCATGAGAAAATGCATAAACCTAAATTTTCTTAATAAAATATGCATTTTTCTCAATAAAATAGGAAAAGAAAATTGTAGTTTCTGCAGAGCGTGTTTGGGAAATACTGAAACACATAACAGATGAAGAATGTTTCATTCTGGGCATGGATCCCAAATATGCACGTCCCGATTGGATGATTGTAACTGTGTTACCCGTTCCACCACTATCGGTACGACCGGCAGTCGTTATGTTTGGTGCAGCTAAGAATCAGGACGATTTAACACACAAGTTGGCTGATATTATTAAAGCCAATAATGAATTGAAGAAGAACGAGGGCACAGGCGCAGCAGCGCATGTTATTCAAGAGAATATAAAAATGCTGCAATTCCATGTCGCAACGTTGGTGGACAACGACATGCCTGGTATGCCCCGTGCTATGCAAAAATCTGGAAAACCACTCAAAGCTCTTAAAGCGCGCTTGAAGGGCAAAGAAGGTCGTATTCGTGGTAATTTGATGGGTAAGCGTGTCGACTTCTCGGCACGTACTGTCATCACACCAGATCCCAACTTGCGTATTGACCAAGTCGGTGTGCCGCGTTCCATTGCACAAAATCTAACATTTCCAGAACTGGTGACGCCTTTTAACATCGATCGTATGCAGGAGCTAGTACGTCGAGGTAATTCACAATACCCTGGTGCAAAATACATTGTACGTGATAACGGCGAACGTATAGATTTACGTTTCCATCCCAAGCCATCAGATTTGCATTTACAATGTGGCTACAAAGTAGAAAGGCATTTACGTGATGACGATTTGGTTATTTTCAATCGTCAGCCAACTTTGCATAAAATGAGTATGATGGGCCATCGTGTAAAAGTATTGCCCTGGTCTACATTCCGTATGAATTTATCCTGTACTTCACCTTACAATGCTGATTTTGACGGCGACGAAATGAACTTGCATGTACCACAATCTATGGAAACGCGCGCTGAGGTTGAAAATATTCATATTACCCCTCGTCAGATTATCACACCACAGGTTTTTATATTTTGAATTTATA